GCAAGAATTACTATATAAACCCTTCCCTCCTTTGTAATTTGAGAGGACTAATATGAGAGATAATAAATTTCAACCCTTTATTGTTCTTTTATTTGCAATAGTCCCTTATCTTTCATTTGTTATGCATTAGTCCTTATAATTGTTTTATATTTCAGAATTTGTTTAACACGTTATCAGCACAAAGAGCTTAACAAGTGTAACGTTGCACCCCTATTGAAAGTATGTACTTCAATCTTACATGTGTTCTTTAATCTCTATTTTTGCCTTTATGGTTGGATTTATTTATTATTATTAAATCCTACCTCTATGGTTGGATCTATTTATTATTGTTAAATTCTGTCTCTATGGCTAGATCTATTTATTATTGTTGAATACCACCTTCATGGTTGGATCTGTTTATTCTTGTTGAATACAAACTTTTTTTGGTTAGATCTGCTTTTATTATATTTTCAATAGCTAAATGCGATAAATGAACTTGAAGTTCCATAAATGAATACTGTTTCAGAACTTGAAGTTCTAAATATTGATTACAAACATGAAGTTTGTAAAACAGAGACAAAAAATGAACTTAAAAGTTCCACATCATGAAGATGAAGTTCTGTAAACATCTTTACTAATGTAATTTCTTTTTTTAAGGATGGACTTTGAAACTGGGGCATCGATATCCAGTGATGGTCGAGATATTTGTATAGTAGATAGTGCAACAACGCACACCATCATTTGGGATAGAAAATATTTCTCAGGTTTGACCTTTACTTAGGCTAAAATAAATACCATATCAGGATCTGCAAAAATAATTAAGGGCTCCGAAAGAGCAACACTTGTGTTACCAAGCAGAACTAAATTAAGTATCCATGATCCTTTATATTCTAGCAAATACAGAAGAAATTTGCTTAGTTTCAAAGATATATGACTCAATGGATACCACGTTGAAACTTTAAATGAAAGGGATGGAGAGTTTCTATGCATCACTTCTAATATTTCATACCAGAAGCATGTACTAGAGAAACTCGCTGCTTTCTCATCAAGGTTATATTACATATTCTTGAAGAATATTGAAATCTATGCAGTTATGAACCAGAGGTTCACTGATCCTAAACTTTTTAAAATTTGGCATGACTGTCTTAGTTACCCGTGATCTACTATGATGCGTAGGATCATAGAAAACTCACATGGGCACCCATTAAAGAACTTAAAAATTCTGTCACCTAATGAGAGAGTTTATATTGCTTGCTCACAAGGCAAATTGGCACTTAAGCCATCCATCACTAGAGTTGGTCTAACATTGCCATCATTTTTACAAAGAATTTATGGGGACATATGTGGACCTATTCATCCACCAAGTGGATTTTTCCATTATTTTATGGTATTGATTAACGCATTGGCAAGATGGTCATATGTTTGTCTACTATCTACCTGTAATGTTGTCTTTGCTAGATTGTTGGCAAAAATTATCAGATTACAAGCACTTTTTCCAGACTACCCAATTAAAGTAATCTGTTTGGACAATGCTATTAAGTTTACCTCAAAGACATTTGATGACTATTGTATAGCAATGGCAATTGATGTTGAGCACCCAGTACCACATCTACATACCCAGAATGGTATGGTAGAGTCATTTATAAAGCGTATCTAATTAATTGGATGAACTTTGCTATTACGTACACAATTACTAACTTCTGCCTAGGCTCATGTTGTTCTATATGCTACGACGTTAATTCGCCTAAGACCCACTGCATATCATCAATACTCTTCAATACATCTTGTATTTGGACATCATCCTACTATATCCCATTTAAGAACTTTTAGTTGTGATGTGCAAGTTCCAATTGCACCCCCTCAGCGCACCAAAATGGGACCCCAATGTCGTTTGAGAATATATGTTGGCTATGACTCACCATCCATCATTAGATATCTTGAGCTCTTGACAGGTGATCAGTTTACTGCACGTTTTGTGGATTTCCATTTTCATGGGACAATATTTCCTCCTTTAGGGGGAAAAGGTAAAATCTCCTGGAGTAATGCTTGAAATTTCTTAGAAAGTCAATTATATGTATCATTTGCACATCTCAATCTGAAATTGAAGTGCAAAGAATAACATATTTGCAAAATATTGCCAACCAAATGTTTGATGCACTAACTTTTTAAATGTTGATGTCGGTAAGGTCTTACCATTATGTCAGATGTGTTTGGATCAAACACTTACTGCTATGCTAAAAGTTAAACTCATAATATTCCATCAATGACAACGTTGAATCCCACACTTAACGGTGGACGAACATGAGGGATTTTGTAATGCACATATAAGCGTATCAATGGGTTGATGTAGTTAAGCACCAATGTCACGTAGATAGATCTCCCCATAGTGTCCACATGTAAACAAGTCCATTGAAAATTGTTGGCATAATAACTGTAGATGCAAAAAATCTACCGTCATGAAAATAGGGTCTGATCCCCGTGAGGTTGAGGCCACTGACAATCCGCTAGACCTGTACACATGAAAGGACAAGCATGAAGCTTCTAGAAAACACCGGGGTGGTGTTTGCCGTAGGCACTCCAACGCTTAAGTCAGCAAGGCTGAAAGAGATTATTTGATAAGAATTAAAGAGATGAAGAATTACCAGGAGTCTTGTCAGAAGCTAAGACTAAGGTGGAGACCTCGGGTTCTTGGGAGCAAGAACTTTAAGAGCAAATAGATGGTTTTGAGTAGTGTAGATTGACTATAAGAGATTCCCCTCAATGAAAGGGCAAGCCTCTGTTTTTATAGTGAACCCAAGGGGTTGGAATCCTAGTAGGACACTGAGTCATTTTTTGGGAGATAATCCATATCAAGAAAGAAATATGATTTCTTGACTTTATCGGATTAAGTTTAATAGTTTGAGTAAGTTTAGGAATCTCAACAGAAGAGAAAATAGAATATGATTATGATTATGATTTCTTATTTATGGACTATTGCAGGCTAATAGGCTAAAACTCAGTTTAGTTTAACTTATAGGATAGCCCAACTCATAGAGTGGGTAGTTTAAAAGATGATTTTAAACGTAGGCCCAATCAGGATTGGGCTGAAGCCTTGGGCCGTGACATGTTTATTTTGTTATTGGGTCTCGTTAGGGTTAAGATGATTTTTTGCCCTAACAATAACCATGTATGAGTTCAAATCTAGATAGGAAGAGGAGACAAAAAAAAAAAAAAAAAAAAAAAAAAAAAAAAAAATGNATTAGGTTATTCTAAAAATTTAACTTTTTCTATTTTAAATTTTTTTATATGTAAAATAATAGAAACTCCCCCATTATTTACATTTCACAAATATTTCATTATAGTCCAAGTTCCAAAATAGGTTCTAAACAGGTTCCAAAAACAGGTTCCAAAACAAGTTCCAAACAGGTTCCAAAACAGATTCCAAAGCAGGTTCCAAATAGGTTCCAAAACAGGTTCCAAACCGGGTACCCCCTACAGGTTCCAAACAGGGTACCCTTTTTACAGGTTCCGGTTCCGGTTTCAGTTTCGGTTCTGATTCCGGTTTCGGTTCCGGTTCCGGTTCCTCTACATGCAAGAACCGGAACCGGAACCGCACAGTAGCGGTTCCAAAAAATTAGAATCGGAACCTACCCGCACTGTGCAGGTTCTGGGTAGGTTCCGGTTTCGGTTTCGGTTCTTACCCCCGGTTCCGGTTCTACCCGCCACCCGTGCTCACCCCTAATAACAAGACTTGGTGTGACCCTTTTTTTTTTTTTTTTTGGCAGTAATTGCACTGAATGCTTGGGAAATAAAGAATGAGATGTCTATTCTAGTGATTGTATTTGCAAACAAGTGAATCAGATTGCTTGGTAGGACGAGCCTGAGGCATAGCTGATATAGGAAGTTGGAATTACTCAAAATACCTTATGTTGGAAATTGGAATAAGGCAAAACAGAGTCAGTAATGAAGTGGCAAGTCAATAATGATGTGGCAAAGGAGCGATTGATATGGTGATGTGACAAGTCAATGATGATGTGGCACCAATATGTGGCAAACATTAACGATGAATTGGTAAAAGTTAATGGTGATGTGACAAAAATGTTGTTGAAATGGCATTGCTAACTTGGCAAGAAGTTGATGATGTGTCAATGATGACATGGCAAAGGAGCGACTAACATGGTAGGGTCAATGCTCACGTGGCAATGTTGACAAGGCAAGACGTGTACAGATGCATGCAAAAGTATGGCAAAGGCAGAGGATCGTAAGGGCAAAGGTAAAGGACCTAGATGGTGTAGAGCAGTTCCCAAGATAGTAGTAAGTGCTATGATGATATGATTTAATATGCACTAGGAAAATTCCTAGAAAATTGGAGGGGTCACAAACGGTCCCACTTAAAACCCAGCTTTCTTAGACTATTATTGTCTTGGTGACAGAATTTTCCTAGACATGCATATAACCATAGAAATAGCAACTCATTGTCCTAAACCTAAGCTCTGATAACATTTTAGAATTCTAGAGGGAAAGACAAACAAATTTAGAGAGAAAGGCAAAGAATGAAATTTTATATTCAAGTGTGTGGTTTCCAATGTACAATAGCTCCCCACTTATACATTACAATACATGCTAGAATCATGCTAATGAATTATGCTAATGGCTAAAATCAAGTTTTGCTTGATTCAAGCCTTACTTGATTCACGCTATTGATCAAGCTTTGCTTTGATTTTGGCTAGCAATCAAATTCTTAGATGGAGGATTATTGTTCTGATTTAAGGGGAAGGAAAAAATAAAATAAAAAATGCTTAAAGCATGTATTGCGATTTTTGTGTTTTTAATTTTTTTTCATCTATCCTTATTTATTGTGACGAGCTTATCATCATTGCCACTTGTTTTATCTTGTGAATTTTGCAGGTATTTATTCTTTAAAACATGTGTGTCTAGAAGAAGATTGACCGCGTAGATTTTTTTTTCTTGTCGCTGCTATTAGTTTGTGAAAGAAATGTAACATTGTTGCATGGAATTTTGACTTTTAAGCTTTTTTGTTTTGTAAAAAGCTATAATACAGTTTCTATAAGAAGCTGAATTTGCAGAAGAGTATGCAGTGCTTGTTTTCGTTCATTAGTGATAATAGTTCGAGGCACCTCGGCTGTCCTTGCGATCATGGGAAGGGCCGCCTCATTGATAGCCTCAGCATCTACAAGAAGGTTTGCACAATATTCTGCTTCTATTATAAAAGAAAAAAAATAATGCTAATCAACTATTTCTCTGTATAAGTTTATAGTTTATAGGCATTAAATTTTCTGTGTTCTTGGTGTTCAACTAATTTCTGAGCTAATATACAATTGTAGGCTAGAAGGCAAAGTGGCATTAATCACTGGAGGATCCAGAGGCATCGGGGAATCCACTGCAAGACTCTTCTCCAAGCATGGGGCTAAAGTACTGATTGCAGATATCAAAGATGACTTAGGTCAATCTTTATGCAAAGACGTTGATTCCGTCGGAGGGACGGCCTCTTTTGTCCATTGTGATGTGACCAAAGAAGAAGATATTGAAAATGCTGTTAACACAGCAGTTTCCAATTATGGAAAGCTAGATATCATGTTCAATAACGCTGGTACAATCGATCAACCAAAACCATCTATACTCGACAATACCAAGTCTGATTTCGAGAAGATCCTGAGTATTAACGTAATAGGGGCATTTCTAGGCACTAAACATGCAGCTCGAGTGATGATCCCTGCTCATCAGGGAAGCATAATAACAACGGCAAGTGTTTGTGCAAGAATCGGAGGAGCTGCAACACATGCTTATACAAGTTCAAAGCACGGCGTGGTAGGGCTGATGAGAAATACTGCTGTAGAGCTTGGACAGTATGGCATTCGGGTAAATTGTGTGTCACCTTACTTGGTTCCAACTCCACTGGCGAATGCTTTCCTCAAAATGGATGATGAGGCAAAGCTTGTTTTCTATCGCTATCTTAATGGGGCTATTCTTAAACCAGAAGATGTGGCTGAAGCCGCTCTCTTTTTGGGAAGTGATGAGTCCAAATACGTGAGTGGACATGACTTGGTTGTTGATGGAGGCTTTACTATTGTAAATCCAGATTTTTGTATGTTTCAAACATATGATAAATAGTACTTCTTGTTAAGGAGAGCTCTAAGGAGGACATATAAATCTTTCTATTAATTAACTTCTTTATCACCTATACGAATCTTTAAAGATAAAGAATTTATTAACAATTCCCATTGTTTGTTTCCGAGTAACAATTTTTGACGCAACACCAATTTGAAATGATTTAAATAGTTTAGGGTTGGCTTTAATTAATTGAATTTGTGTCGGGCATGTTTGAGTTGAAGGATTCTCAACTAGTAAATCTGTTTAGGGACATAATTAATTAAATGAATACATGTAAACTACATTTGTAACATGATTATTTATTTATTTATTTATTTAATGGTTATTCATTTTTAACAAAAATATTTGTTTAAGACACGTTTATTTTATCAAAACATGATAATATGTGATCAAACGTGATCACATATTATCATGTTTGTGTTAAAAGTGATTTATATTATGTTAAGTAGATTTAAGTATGTCATAAACTGATTAAATGAGTTATTTGTGTTATAAAGGAATTACATGAGATTAAATGTGTTAATTCTGTTGTCTTTTAAGTACACAAATTTGATTCCTTCGTTAAATGGGTTATGTGAGTTGTATTCATGTCACTTGTTTTGTGTTTGCAATTTTGAGACGATTGAATAAAGAGTAATGTTATAATCATCGGGAGTAGTGCATCGAATTTGTGCATCGAATGACGTGACAAAATCCTGACCATCGATTAATATTAAGTTATAATTAATCGACGGTCAAGATTGTGTCACGTTATTCGGTGCACTACTGTCAGTGTCTCTATTATTTCCCTTGAATAAATAGGTCAAGATATGAATCCTACAAACTAATTTGTTTTATCACCCCGATCCTCATCTTAGATTTATTTACTCTAATTATAAATCAAAATAACTATAATTCAAATAAATGATAAGGAATTTTACTTTTGAGAACCACTTAATTAACTAAAAGTAGAGTTTAATTTTTAGTCGAAATCTTATGCATTGTGATTATTGAATTTAATTAGTAAAATGTCTGCGTGATGATAAATATTTGACATAATAAAAGAGCCATAGGCTTCTCATCCGTCAAAGTTGGTTTTTTTTTAGGAGTCAGCTCTCTGTTTTGGTTTGTACCCTATCTAGAGAAGAGAAAAAAAAAATTAATTGAGATCAATCACGTAAATATTATGCATGGTTGATAGAATCTGAAGTGGGTCTGACTCATCGCCTCTTATGAACCAGTAGGCTTGAGTGTACGCTTAGTCGGTGTAATACTCTAACACTCCTTTTCACGGTCAAGTCCATATGTTGGGAGACTCCAACACCCCCTGACGGTTAAGCTCATATGTTGGATCATACTTAGAGTTGGTAACTCTAACTCCTCACTCGCTTGTTAACCAATCAACTCAATTGGCCTTAGCTTTAATTCTATGATAAAATTTGAGGTGTGTCTGACTCCTTATCCAATAAAATCTTGTTGAGTAAAATGATTACTTATCTTATAAACTAGTAGGCTTGAGCATGCCTAGATGGCGTGAGACTCCAATAATAATTAAATTTGGATAGAATCTTGAGCTAAAGGAGAAAGCTAGCAAGTCAATACTAAGTAAAATAATAAAGAAAAAAGAAAAGAAAAATTGATTATTGTGCATACCTAAACGAAACGACGTAAAAACAGAAAAATCATGGATAAATCTTTCCACGTGACATTCATTAATCTTATGGTGGTTAGCAGTTGGTAAAAATCATGGATAAATCTTTCCACGTGACATTCATTAATCTTACGATGGTTAGGAGTTAGTAACAGTGCAATTTAATAAAATAGGCTATAAATTATTGATTGCTTATAAATTAATGAAGACTTTATCTCCATCATATATATGATATAGATTATTGAAGGATTCAATAATCAATATAATATCTATGGAGAAATTAATTTATAAACTTATATTTAAGGCACTAAATTTGACTACTATTCTTCTCATTAACTTTCTCTCACAAACGTAATGTGTCAACTCATAATTGGTCAGCTCACAATGGGTCTTGTTTGAATAAATGCGAACTGACCAATGACAAGCTACCACGTCAACATTAGTGAGAGAAATTTGTGAGAAGTGTTTGTTAGTTTATCTTTCTTCTTCTTTTCCAAAAGAATAAAAGAGGTACGTAGCCAATTTTGATAATCAAGAGCATAATATATGATGTTCACTAAACAAATTAATCAAAATAAAAAGTTATATGAGATGGTCTTACAATCTTATTATGTTGATGTGGTAAGACTGTCTAATAATATATCGCCATGTGTTATTCATTGACAAATAATTTAATTAATTCCAACTTTTGTTTTATTGGTTCTTTTAATCACAATGTAATTGGAAATAAATTACTTTATTTTTATTTTACAATAAATTTTCGATAATACTATATGTACAAACAAATCTTATAAAGATTTGTATACAAACTGATGTGGTACAAAATGAATGGAAGAGTTAATACAAAAAGTCAAACTCATCATATTCCTTCTTCCATTCATTTTGTGCCACATCAGTTTGTACATAAATCTTTGTAAGATTTGTTTGTCCATGTAGCATTACTCATAAATTTTATATTCCCACCATCAGTTTCTAATATAACACCGCTGATCATAACTCATAACTTAGTGAGATCCGTTCTTAGTGAGTTAATTATAAAAAAATATTGTAGAGATGTATTTAATATTTTGCAAGGTTAGTAAGTTCATACTGTTTTCCTTTCAACTCTAAAATTCATTACCGTATGCTTCTCTAGCTATTAAATTACATACTGAAATTCATTCTCCTCTACAAAAGGTAAGATCTATGGCAAATCCCATTAAATTTGATAACTTACCGCAAACTTCAATACATACAAATTGGCATAATTAGACCTGGCAAACGGGCGGGTCGAGTGGGTATGGGCCATGTAGAAACGGGTCGCAGGTAAAACGGGCATGGGTCTACGGGTCGACATATGCATGACCTGTACTCGCTCATGCGGGTACGGGTTGACCTGCGGGTCACCTATATATAATGGCATTTTCTGTAATTTTTTATTTTTACAGGTTTTTGTTATTCAAATTGCAATTTTTTTCACTGTTTTTTGTTATTCAAATTGCATACTTGAAGATGTAAATTGTATTGATTTAAAAACTTGTTATAAAATTCCTTTATTAAGCTTTCATAACTTGGTTAATTTGATTAAATTAATGGATGATTAAATTAAATTTGATTAGATTTCACCAATCATCATTAATTCATTATCAACATTTTTCATATTTATATCAAACTTCACCATATAGAATTAGTAAACACTAAACACTAAACATAGATAGTAATTACTAATTAGTAAACACTAAACATATAGAATTGTTCAACATTCAACATAAATACATAGTAAACACTAAACACTAAACATATAGAATAGTTCAACATTCAACATACATACATAGTAAACACTAAACACATAGAATTGTTCAACCAAACACTAAACGAACAAAGTCTATCACACATTGATGGTATTAGAAGCCGCCCTTGATTCTCTAATCTCCTTCTCTACTGGCACTTGGGTTAATGGCACAACAAGCTGAGCATCATCAATTTTATCTTCTACAATTAACAAAATATAAGCTAACTATCGCAGTATATCAACAAACTAAAATATTAAAAACATGTGAAATATAAGTTAAAATGTTACCTTTAACTTTATATCCAGAAATCCATGCCCTAGTGCGTATCAAAGACTATGCATTCTCCGGTAGAAGTGAACTTCGATATTTACTGAACACTTTGCTACCAACACTGAAACTGGACTCCGAAGGAACAGTTGTTTTTGGTATACTCATCACACACGGGCCATCATGGAAAGTATAGGATATCGATCACTACTTTCTTCCAATGATCCAGGATATCTAGATTGCAAAATTTGATGCGATCAAACCTTGCCGCTCCCAAATAAGAATCTAATTCGGACTTCTTAGTAGCACTAAAGTCACTCTTGTAATAGTCAAATTCCCGCACCATTTAAATATTTAAATTTAATAAAGCAAAATTACAAAATAAACAAAACCTTCTTAATCACAAGAATATAAAAATATATAGGGAGTAGTGACTTACACAAATATCATCTCTAAGGATATTAGGACTATTAGTCTGTACCAAAGGACCGGTGGGAACCTCATTGCAACTTAGACCCTCATAAGCAGCAAAAAGCTTATACAACTCCTCCTTGACCAACTCGAACTTTCTTGATGCAACTATTGGGTCATCAACTTTTTTGTAACAAAACTCAACAAGTCAAACTTGAAACATGGGTCCATAATTGTTGCAATAGCTAACACAACGCTATAAGAATCCCAATATTTGTCAAACTTTACTTTCATTTGACTTGCCATGGTACTAACAACTTCACCCTCATTTTCCATCTCTTCATATAAACGCACTTGAACTCTCCACACATTTTTGAGGTACAAGTCTGCTATGGTGTATTAGGAACCCGAAAAAAGAGTAGTGATGTCATAAAATGGTTGCAAGAACTTGCAAATCCTCACCCTCCTATCGCGTTCTTCATCTAAAGGACAATTTTTATAATTGGGATCTATCAATGACAAATGAACAAACACATGACGATATATTAACGCACTTTCAAGCATTAAATAAATGGAGTTCCATCTTGTGGGAACATCCATTCGCAATCCTTTTGAGCTTATCACACCAATTTGTGTAGCAAGTTCTCCAAACTTGATTCTTTTAGCCTCACTTCCTTTAACATATTTCACACTTTGATGAATCTTATGTAAAGCCATGCTACTAACCTTTAACCCTTCTTGGACTATGAGATTCAAGATATGTGTGCAACATCGCACATGAAAAAAAGAACCACCACATAATAAAGCATTTTGCATACAAAGTTGACTCTTTAAAATGTCTTTAATCCTATCATTATTACTTGCATTGTCTAATGTAAGAGAAAATACTTTCTTTTCAATCCCCCAATCTTTTAAGAAATCATACACTATTTCTAACAAAAGATCCCCTGCGTGTGGAGGAGGAATATGACAAAAATTAAGAATTCTACT